TCACTTCAGGAAAAAATGTATCCTATTAAATTCTATGTCAGTTATGTCCTTTTGAATGTTTTACTTGTCAAAAAAAAAAAAATCACACCTCAAGAGGCAAGAGCTTCATACTAACATTGCTTTGTAGAACTACCTGCTTTATTTGACCATCTGAAGGGTGTATATAAATGCTCCTTTAGAAAAAGCTGAGTCAAAAAACTGTCAAACACAGTATCAACTCATTTGTATATTTTATTGAAGGTCACGTTGTACCTTGGACCTACCTTTATAAGGAAAGTGTTGTGAACAACATATTAGTGTTGCACCTTGCCCTTAAATAGCTGTATAATTCCTTTTGTTCTGTATTAACCCATGATAAATGCCCTGTAAGTGGGAGAGAAATACTCTGACTCCACAACTCAGCTTGAAGAGGCTTCTACAAGCACGTTACTAATAGCGTCAGTCCATTCATTAAGTCAAACAGGAGCTAAAGAAACAGCTACACACAGGTCCAGTGGAATGTATTTAAATATAAACATAAATAAGGCTTTAAGATGTTACCAAGCTTCTGCATTTACCATGAAAAACCATTAGAAATATTACTGGAGCCCTCTACACACATCTATTCAGGGAAAAAAACACGACTCCTTTCTTGATTTAAAAAAAAAAAAAAACACAACACACACACACACAGAAAGAAAATAACCCTGCTCTTGGCATTTCTGCATGAGCAAGTGTAAGATAAAAACCTCGTGGCCCCCTCCTTTCCCACTTAAATCCAGAGAGGAAACCACATCGCTGTGAGTTTTCACCCCAGAGGGCAGGGGATGCCTGCTGCTTCCCAGCTCCCGGGGGCGAGTTTCTTGCCCCAGGATACGTTGTCTGCAGTGAAGGGCAAAGGACAGTGTGCTGCCCCAGGTCAGCATCCCACTGCACCACTCGGGGGAAGCGCTGCTCCCCAAGGCGTAAAGAGCCTCCCGCCTATGCACTCACTACTCCATACTCATCTTGACAATTGAGGGTGGTTTTTTTTTCTTTAAATAAACATGTACAAAGCAGGTTGGCCTGGTGCACATTAACATATCTTCCTGTCCACTTATCTAAGCAGAGTTACAAATAAGATGTGCCTGAGCCGTAACATTGGTTGTGCAGCCCTGCAGCACATCCCAGGGAGTATTACCTTACTCATCATCCCTCCGCTGCAATTCCAGCTCAAATACCTGCTCCCAAATAGATACCAGGTAGCCAGGACAAGACACAGTGCCTCATTAAATATTTGGCATGTTGTCTCAAATTACTTTTGACACACATGGTTATTTATACTTCGTGGCACACTGCATGCTGCTGTGACAAGATAGCATCACATAACACTGTATGCCAGGAATGCAGGCAACAGATTTAAACCAATCCTCACTTCAAGACACTTTTACTACGAAGCAGGTCACAAACTGAGTAATATCCGCTTTATGCGCTGAAAACCGTATGTTATTCATTTCCAGGAAGTAAAATCAACCACCCTTAATCCTTCTCCCCCTCACACACACATCCCATCACGAACAATAGAAAGAGGTCTTAACAGGTTTACTATTGGGACGTATTTACTTCAGCCCACAAAGCTCATTCCTTTTAATGCATTCGCTACAATTCCTTCTAATGTTGACTCGGTACAGAGACACTGATTCAAAGAGCAATCCCAGCAAGAGGTATTCGGTTATATCAACTCAATTCAGCTTTGAATTATGCACCAATAGTTCATATTTATGGAGCTTGTTTCCAAGCCCTAAACATATGCACATTTCCAATACTCATTCGGCCACATTGATGTTCTGAACACACATACTGTAGGGAGGGGTATCAGCTGTTACTAAGACACAGAAGACGCCTGTGTTTGCATTCATGTCATGAAGTAAAACTCTGAAATCTGAAAGATGGCATTAGACTTCAATATTCTGCTGTCCCTGCAGCTGTGCAATAACTTATCCAAACTCTTAACTTTTTGAATTGATAAAGAAATAAAGCACAGGTGACCACCAGGGGAATTCTCAGCACTCAGTGAAACGAGGAAGCCAAATATTGAGCAGAAGGCTGGCAGTTTGAATCTGAAAGAGAACTCATCCATACGAATTATCCAAAGCCAAGTATCACATTTCTTTAGGGCAATCAGGATGGAAATCAGGCCTGGAGAAGGAAGATTTTGCTCTCAGAAAGATGCCTCCTTAATGAGGCAATGAAATACACATGAAGGTGCTGTTCCACGCTTGAGAAAGATCTCTCACTGGGAGAAAAGCAATGGAGATTCAAGAGCATACACAGTGCCCAGACACATCCACTGCTGGGGTGAAGCGAGGCAGACAAGAGGATAAAAATCAGCTTGACCATGCACTTAATAGCATGAAGTCAAGCCCAAGTACTCCCTGCACCACAAGCCCTGAACCTTCTCTCCTAATGAGTTCAAACCGATACTTAAACATTATTCCCCAGCTCAGCAGAAGGTGACACAGCATAAGGAAAATTCATAATAAACAGCCTGATAACAAGCATATACAAGAGATGATCCTGCGCAAAAGGAAGCTTCTCTCATGAGTAAGAGGAAACCAAAAACCACCCACTGTCTCATAGAATAAAACTTACTGAGGGTGTGTTTAACCAAAGAGGGTTTTTTTTCAGCTGAAAAGAGCGCCAGCAGAAACACTGCGTTGCATTATGAATTCCTCCCTTGTTTTAGCAACTGTCTTCAGAGACTGCATTCGTTTCTCTGAATTCATCTGTGTTGCCCTCGTGCACACAGGTTTGAAGGCCAAGGCTATTGCACATGCCAAACACCACTAACAGATGGGACTCACCTCAGCCAGTAACAAGGATTACAGTTATTGCGATGCACTCTCATCCGATTACAGGCGAATAAGAATCCCACTATCTGGCAAACCCAAGTCTTCCCAAAGAGGGGTAGGGGGAAGCATATTCTGCTTCTGCTTTAGCATCTGCTCTGCTTTTTTTCCCCCCCCCAAAAGGGTTAATATTTTTATGCTGGACTCCTTGATATTTTATTCACGCATGACAGACTAGGAACAAATATCTTGGAAGATTTAAAAGCCTTCCAACCGGCTATTCAGGTAAGAAAGCACCAAACTATGTTACGTAAAGTAAGGACCATTTTGATGCACTCAGCCTTAAAAACAACACTGTATAAAAGAAATCTTAACTCCTCTCTGTTGCAAATTTTATAGATATTTAAATTGTTGTAAAACAATTTAAACATCAATTGCAAAAATCCCCGTATATTCCCAAAAGATGCTCATGGCATTGGAAATTGTTTCGATGCTTGGATATGGCCATCGCACAGAAGCATGGATCTTCCAGATCCCAGCTGCTAGCCTTCTGCTCAATATTTGGTTTCCCCCCTTTCGCTTAATCGAAACACCTTCTTGTGCATTACTACAGTCTACACAGGCAGTAATCTGCAAGCTTAAAAAGTCTGAGAAGAGTTTATCACGGGCTAACGGATCCGAAGAAATTGCTTTTGAAGAAGCCAAAACTCCATAACTACACATTTACAACGCTGGGCACAGTCATTTGAAAATCCAGATTGGTAATATCGACTTGGCTGAAGGTAGCACGTAGAGAAACGTCACTTTTCTAGATCAATGCAGATGAGATTCTGGTGACAAAAAAAAATTTAGATCTAATCCACATATTCACAACACACAGCTCAGTAAGCCTTCTGCCTAAAGGAGCCAGGTCCCAAATACATAGCATTTTGAGACCAATTAACAAAACGCAGCAAAGTGTACAGGAACAGAGAGGAAGGCTAATCGCTGAACTGATGTTTTGTCCTCAGAAATATTTTCTGCTCACGAGGTCTTATCATCATGACTTCAGGAGGAAAAAAGCAAGAAGAAATAAACTCACATTCAGATTTTCTGCTACTTACATCAGTGTTACTGGGACACAGAAATAAAACCAAGCAGAACTTGAACTAACAGTAGTTTTAAGTGTCTATTTTAATTTAGTGCTGTGGCAGTATCTACCTGTCCTGACAAGGAATCACGCTTCTCTCGCCTCCATGTTGTATGTTGCTCACAAAAATTTGGAGGTAAACAAAACAAACAAACAACCTTCACTGAATGGAGGTCGGGTGCAGGAAAAGGGCTAGAGAGGATCTCACATTTAAGCACAAGACAAAATTTTTTTCCTTTCATGGAACTAAGGCAGACTCTAAATAGGACTAAAGATCAGCTTGGAGATGTTTTCATTTGCTTGTAAACGCAACTATGTGTAGATGAAAGAGTTGTAGTCTTAGTCATCTTCTCCATGTCAAAAATAAACCGAGCAATTTCCAGAATGTGTCATAATACAATATTAACTACGTATCTGCACAGTCACTGAATCAATGGCCACTTAATAGCCTTAATTTAGAATATCTGTGTTTTCCAGAATCAGTGCAACATAGGATGCTGGAATAACCTGAACTATTAACACCACTTTTGAAGGAGTCATTCTGGAGCAAAAACACCTCTAAAAGTGGTCCCAAAGACAAGCAAAGCAGAATCCCTCCCTCCGCCATGCCCCTGGGAGGCAGGGCCTCGTCCACCAGGACGCAGGACTTTGCCCCAACACCAGGGGAGCCGAGTCGAGATCGGGAGCTCCTGCGGAAGGCTGGACGTTACCAAGGACTCACAACAAACCTTGCAATCACGTGGAAGATTTCCAGTGGGAAATACATGGCATTTGAAAGTTTTCCCTTGAGTATTCAAGATGCCAATTATAAAATACCAAAGCAGTGAGGCAGCTGGAGCAGATACAAGGTACGTGCTAGAAGAGGTGGAAGGCCTGAAGCACGCTTACAGAGAAACAGGATAACAATTGCCTCTCCTGTTTTAAGGTTTCTTAAAGAACGTTTCCATCCCCAAAATAAGCTCTCTCATCTCTGCAAGGAATGGGACATGGACACTGGAAAAGAAAACTCTGCTTCAGGATATCTTAGAAGAAAAAAAATGTTTATCTTTTCAGACAATACTTACTTCTAGATTCTAGACAAAACTCGGGCAAATCTGAACTCCTCACAAACTGCAGCGCAACCACCGCTCCAATGCTGGGCATGTCAGACTGCTCTGTGCTTCAGGAGCAACACTAAGAAGCATTAAGAACAAGAAAAAGAAATTCAGAGTTTTAAATAGACATGATTTCTCATTTCTGCACTTCCCATACCAAGCCAAGTCACTTGCTGCAGGGCAAGAGGAATCCAAACGCCGCATCCTTCTGGTTTTCCATCCGGGCTCCACATCTCTACCCCACATTATAAGCTGCATCTCCAATATCTTTTTCTAGTACTATGGAGAGAACAGGATTAACCGATGTCAAGCAGCATTTTAAACCTTTTATTCCTCAGGTATTGACTTCACAGGTCTTCCCAGCATAGGGGATGGCATGTGTTTTCCAGCAACAAACCTGAAAAGCAGAGCTGAATAAAATGCAAGAATCAAATGCACAAGTATCTAGCTAGCCCGTCCAGTCATAAAACAGCCTGTCTTGCAGCATGGAGAAAGCCAAGCTGTAGGAAAAAAACACTGAGAATTTCCAAACGTTAAAGTTTAAAACTGGAAAAGACCACTATAACCAGGTGTACCTACTCACAGCAGCTGATTTATGGAATATTAATCTCTGTGCTTTGGGAGTATGTTGGTTGTGACCCTGTTACCCCAGCTCAGCGCCACCACAACTTCTGTTATCTGCCGAAAGGGGGGAGGGAGCTGTGATAAGGCGGGGTGGGGCTGGATCCAAAGTCAGGGCAGCAGAGTGCCCAATTAGCACTAGCAAATAAAATGGTCACAGAGGTAAAGGCAGCACTTCTATTTTAACAACAGTTTGTATTTTTAAGTACAGAATTGTAAAATTCTTCTGTGTTTTTCACATTTATAAAGTGAAACACGACAAAAATCAAAATCAAACACAAGGTTCAGTCTGAGTAAGACCGGAATGTGTTGACTGTTCAGTCCTTCAGAGCAATTTCAGCTCCTAAAACATTCACTGACTTCATTATACACAGGGAAAAAAAAATATATATATATATAATGGTGCTAAGTATATATAAAACGGTGCTTTACAAGTGAATTCTCCATGTGATTTGTACTACAAAAAGGACAGAAATCAGTTTATTTAGAGAAATACTCAGATACTTCAAACTAATTACACATGGACACGCACTCGTTTAGAGTGCTTGCGTAAATGATAGCATGCACGATTTCCAGGTCGTTTTTTGTTTAATCTCTTTTCCACCCCTGTATTATTTTCAGGGACCACTGCAGCATGGCGAAAGGAGGGAGGTGAGCTGCTGCCCTCTTTCCTCCCCGACCAAGGCCCTTCACGAACACCAACCAGACGTTAACGTACCTGGGAGGCGAGCGTGACGAGCTTTACTATACCATTTCAAAGATTGGGAAACTGAGGCACGGGG